AGAAACTGAGGAGCAATTGCCGAAGCGTGATCACAAAAAGGCACTCTTGACGGACATGAAATCTCAAATTGATAGTATTTGATGTAGGATCTCTGGATTAAGCCGTTTGCCGCGAAAAGGTCGCTAAGGAGTCCATGCCTTTTGGGGATTATGATACCTTGACGGTTATTAACTTTTATAAAAAAAACCTCTTTTTCCCAATAACTCGCGCGCGTTTAAATATTTTATTTTCATTTTTTGGAAAATGTTACCTTGAATAATGAACTTTAATTTGGTTGGAAAAAAGAAAATTTGGAAAAGTATCCCCGCGAAGGTTTGGTGTAACCTTAATTTGTCTCTAACATCAGTTTTCGCAGTCGTCTCAGTAGTTTAAAACAAAAAGGATTATTTACCGGCTTTGCAGAGTTGACAAAAACGCATTCAAGAGGCTTTTGTTTCACTTCTAACGTTGAATAGAAAATGGTTCTTTGTGGTTTGGAATAGTTTGCTCCCACGCTTTGGTAACTTAAAATATAGGGTTTATTTTGTTTACTGAAGTACTAATTTTATTTGTTACTAGAAATTCAAAACCTCCATAGAAACAGTCGACAAGCTGTATCAACTAAGAACACGACGGAAGCGAAAGACACTGCGGAAACCACCATCAAAATCAGCAAGCATCTTTTATCACAATGGAGAGCACATCTGTGTCAATCTAAGAGTGTCATGTGCTCATCAGGTCCCCCAGGCCCTCCCGGTCCACCTGGGACAAAAGGAGCCCGGGGACGAAGAGGACAGAAAGGAAGAAATGGAAATAAAGGAGATCGAGGCATTATGGGATCACCAGGAAAGAGCGGCAAACAAGGCATTATCGGACCTGGGGGGTTAAAGGGAGAGCCTGGAACCAAAGGTGAGAAAGGAGATGTAGGGCCTGCAGGCATGCCGGGAACTAAAGGCGAGCCCGGTGAATCGATATCATCTCCTACTGTTGTTGTTTCTCCTGTGACGTTGACAGTGAACGAAGGTGGATCAGCCTCGTTTCTGTGTTCGGCCAGCGGTAATCCTGAGCCTGCAGTAGCGTGGAGTAAACTGGACAATCAGTCAGAAATCATTCAGTCAGCGGTTTCAAGAGGAAAGCTGCAATTAAAGCACGTGACCGGAAGTGATGCAGGATTGTATCAGTGTTCAGCAACAAACATCCTGGGGAATTCACGGGAAGTAGTGCAATTAACAGTAAACGGTAAGCTTGTGCTGATAATAATACAAATTGAATTGTTATAAGGTTGGAATTTAGTTGAGTTTAATGCGCGCTCATATTTTGATTTATGGTCAAGTGGCAATGGCTAAATCTAAATTTTGGCCTCGGCGGGGAACAATTCTGCAATTGTTGGCCCGCTTTCCCATGAACCAGAGGCTACTTTGACTTCTTCTTTCCTTGTTACTTTACACTTCACTCCAGCTATATAACAAAAGACTCAATTACTGGTCCCTTGGCAAACAATCAGTCTCTCGAAACTAGTAATTAAGTGTATATTTTGTCAAAGCGAGTTTCAAAACTTCTAACTATGAATGGTTTATTTTCTTAGAAAATCAGTTGATATTTAAGTCCAAAACTGAGACTAAATGTTTTTTTCTTGATTGCAGTTCATCCTCGTGCTTCTTTGCATCCGGGACCTTCTTACGTCATCGAAGGGAGTAGCGTCACTTTACCGGCCTGTCACGTGACCGGATACCCGGCTCCTGTGGTCACCTGGAGGAAGTTGTCTGGTCAGTTACCCCAGGGGAGGGTGCAGTATAACAACACTGCTTTACAAATCTCACATGTCCGTAAAGTTGATTCTGACGCCTACTTCTGTTCAGCAGTCAACCTTTTAGGAAATGTTGAGAGGAAAACTCTACTAGTTGTGGTTTCCCTTCCTGTGTTTACCGTTAAACCCCCTGGAAAGGTTTCTGTTGGTACTGGCACCTCTTTGACGTTAAACTGCAGTGCCATCGGTGATCCACGTCCAGTCATCAGTTGGAAAAGACAAGGAGCAGCACTTCCCGTGGGGAGAAGCCACAGGACAAACGATGCGCTTGTGTTAAGAGATTTGAAAAAAGAGGATGCCGGGATATATGTGTGCGTGGCAACAAGTGCAGGAGTGTTTGATATCGAGGCCATTAGTGATGTTGAAGTTCTAGCAAGAGGGAAAGGTAAGTTATAAATTGTGTGGTTCTATTTGTCATAAAGAAAGAGTTGGAGTGCGCTAAATCCCTTCGTCTGCCCGTTGGTTTTGAAGGAGATATTTCTCGTCTTTTGAAAGTTGCTTGGTGAATGGTGTTCAGGACCTGGCTCTCGAAATACGCATGCATGCAGATTAAATCACTGGCAGGACAACTTCTGGGCTACGCTGATGTAAGCTGGCAAATGGTCAGCCTTCCATTAGATCAGAGTCTTAACAAGTTTACGTTTTATATGCAATGTTTGTTTGATTATTTATTGTATTCCTAACCTGCGATCATATTTGTCCAGTTGGGAAAACGATCACTACTTAACGAGTACTTCGAAAACAATTTGCCAAAACGGGTTCATGTTTCCGAAACCCTGCTTTATTCGGTAAAAGAGAACGCGAGGCGAAGAAACGGAGAGTTCATCTCGTAATCTGTATGTTTACTCAAGGCAAAGGGAGGTCTTGATCCCGTGGGAGAGGATTTCTTCTTACATGGCACTGGAGGCATTACTCGTCATACCTTTTAAGGGTGGAAATTCGTTTTTTAGTACGGCTTAGGGTTTTTCGATTTAAATTTCGCAGTCGTTTTCAATATTTTTAATATGATATCTTTGAGGACACGTTTTCCAAGTGAAGCATAAAAATAAACGGGAAATAATGGTCAAGGAATAATTTCTATCTGTGATGTTGCAATTAGCCGGCTAGTGTCATGCGTCACTTACCAATATGAGTGTGGAATTGGTTCCTCTTAAGAGTTAAATGAATTGAACCGAGCTCCATCAAATAGATCTTTTTTTCACAATTTCCGACGATCATTTTCGTCGCTTTTGAATGTGGAAGGCCTGATTGCAACTAACATCACAGCGCTAAACGTTCGCACAAACGAAAAACAATAATAACTCCTCACATCGTTAGCTTGGGCCGCCTGTGTGTCATGTAGACAGCGATATTTAACGAGTTTATGATATTACTAGACCCAGAACTGAGAAGAAGAACTAAAAACTGAACGATTGCAATTTCTCGGATACTAAGGTTATGTCTTTAATTCAGGTCATTTCCTAACCCACCCAATGAGCTTTGATCTTTTAGATTATAATTGGTTTGCCTACAGTATGCGTAAAGAAGGTGATTTCAAGCGTGATGGAATTTCCGATATAACATTTCAGCTGCAATATCACTGGGATTATTTCAAATAAAAATTAAATTCACTGCCTGCTTTTCATTTTGTCAGATTGTTCAGATCTGGTAAAATCAGGCCATACTCAGAGTGGAGTGTACTCTATCAACCCAGACGGCACAGGACACTTCATTGTCTACTGTGACATGCACACTGACGGTGGAGGCTGGACCGTGTTTCAACGAAGACAGGATGGCTCGGTAGACTTTTTTCGGGGATGGGACGACTACAAAGCAGGCTTTGGTCAGCTGACTGCTGAGTTCTGGTTAGGAAACGACAAGATCCACAGGCTGACGGCTTCTAGACCCAGCTCGCTACGAGTGGAGCTAGAGGACTGGAACGGAGGTAA